CCTCATAAACTAATTGTTGCTTTCTGCACGAGGAAGACAGGAAACTTTTCTCTTTCTCAGATAAAGACACTAAGTTCTAGGCTTTAGGCAGAACCAAAATTCTCTTTTCTCATATGTACTTTAACAATCTTACTGGCTTCTCTTACTCTCTTGGCAAAAACCTATATTCCTTAGGATCTGAGGCTTGTCTATCACCAATTTAACTTTGTCCTTTGTACCTTACACATTAATAGCAGTAAGTTAGTTTTAGCACCTTAATATAGTACACAGGATGTGCCTTTGTGCCTTTGCACATTCTAGAACATTCTCACTTGCCTTGTGTGATACTCAGCTCCTTTTTAGTTTGGTCCTCCACAAATGTTTACTGACCCTCACCCTCCAATCCAGACAGGGCAAATCATTCTGTTCTGAGCCATTACCAGACCTTGCACATAGTTATTACATTTAACATGCTACATTATAAATTATCTGTTTGTATTATTTGTCTTTCTTATAAGACAGAGCTTTTTAACAGCAAGAACTGGTTCTTATCTATTTCTATATTTGTAGTAGATAAAAGAATATTACATGACTAAATGAACCTCTATGCTATGATTCATTTCTAAGTCCTTTCCACCTATATATACAACAAAGTCTGCATCTATAAAACTAAGCTAATTTTTTGAGCCATCTCCACCATGTTCCTACTTCCATTAATGACACTATCGATACCCACTGGCCCAAACCAGAAAACTGGGAAGACACTAGGCATCTCCTCCGTTAGTACTCACATTCACTCAGATATCAGCCTCTCTCAATTTTCACTCCTCCCACAGTTTAACCTAGTTTTTTTAGTTCTCTTCTTTCTTTTCATTCAACTTATATTTTATTCTTAGACTTTTGTTGTAGCCACGCCTGTGAGCATACTCAGATATTGCAGTGAGAGACTGACAAGTGGGAAAGATACTCCCCTAGGTTGGGGAATAAGAGGCTGCTATCCTTTTACTAACACAATCTTGAGGTGTGGTGTCACCAGCAAAAAGACTGGCTGTGAAAAGTAGTACTCCAATATACAGGCGTACTTAGATCTACCGCTCAGTTGATATTCCAGGAACTTTCCTTACTTCCCTCCTATGCTGTTTGTTATTCCCGAACACTGGTAAAGAAAATCTTCTATTACTAAGTAAATATGCATGGGAGATTGTTTGAAAGCTTGCACATATAAAAGTGGCATCATTCAAACATCACAGTTAAAGGATAGTTTTGCTGGGTATAGAATTCTATATTAAAATCATCTTCTTTGAAGCCAGGCATGGTGGCAACACCTGTAATCCCAGCATTCTGGAAGCTTAGCCATGGGGAATGCCATGAACTCAAGGCCAGCCTGAGCCACGTAGTGAATCCAAGGCCAGCCTGAACTACTTAGCAAGACCAGCTCAAAACCAAAACAAAATAAAATAATTTTCCTGGAGAATTTTGAAGGTGTTGTTTTATAATTTTCTACTTTATAGTACTGCTCCTAGGAGGGCCTTTGTCAGTAAGGTTCTTGATGATTTTTGTGTTTTTCTTTTCTTTTTTTTTTTTTTTTAAGATGAAGATTTTTGATTTCTTCTCTCTGTAAACTTTTAACATACTTGTGAATTCCTGAACATTAACTATATATATATTGGTATGGATTATTTTACAATTACTATATTGGATACTAGGAAGAACCACTGTAATAAAGAAACTAATTTCCTTTGGTTACAACATTTTAAAATATTATTCTAAAGATAAATTTCTACTATCTCATTTTGCTTCTTTTCTGTTTTGGAAATTCCTGTACTTTATATGTTGGGTCTCCTGCACTAATCTGTTTTTCTTTTTTTTTTTTCCCTACTCTACCTCAGGAAATTTCCTTTGTTCTTCCAACTCAACTACTACATTATATATATTTTTGACTTCTGGGACTTGTGTTTTCTGAAGAGTCTTTTAATGATTTCATGTTCTTGTTTCAAAAATGCTTCATCGTCTCTTAGTTCTCTGCAGTTACTAAGCACGATAATTACTTTTACAGTTTTCATCTAGTACTTTTATGGTCTGTTTTTCCTTTTCTTCTGTTTTAATGGTTTTAGATCTGGAACCTCCTGGTCCCCAATTCTCTGAGCCTACAGGTGGAGTTTTTAAAGGTGTCTGGAGCACAGGCGCACTGTACTGCTGGATAGGTTCATCCACTGGCAAGTTCAGTGGCAGAGCGCACTGCTGGAAGGTGTGGTCTGGCCTGAGGCAGGCCAACGCGGACGTGACCTAGAAGGGCACATTTCCCATTCTGGCTCTGTGGCTAGCACTCTTCTCCCTGGTCACGGCATGAGCAACATTTTCTCTACTACGCCCCTCTACCTTGCATTTCTGTCTTGGAGACAGACAGACAATAAACTGCAAATATCAGTCAAATCAAACCTTCTTTAGGTTGTGGGTGTCAGGTATTGCACCTCAGCAACAAAAGACACCAAGATACTCTCTTTTCTTGCTTTGCTTGTTTGTATTTTCTTTAGTGGACTATATTTTTTGAGCTACTTTATGTTCACAGAAAAACTGAGCAGGAAGTAGTCCTTACTGGGCTAGCTTCCCAAACTGTGGATATCCTATTTCACAGTGGTACATTTGTTAAAGTCCGTGAACCTGCTTTAGTATGCCAGTATCATATCAAGTTAATACTTAAGTTTTGGGGGCACCTTGCACAGTGTACAGTCCATGGGCCTTGACAAATGCACAATGATACATATCTCCATTATAATATCACAGAGTCATTTCACTGCCCTGAAAGTCTTTTGTGCTGTTTACCCACCTTACCGCCTATTGGCAACTAGTGGTCCTGTTACTGTCTCCATAGTTTCGCCTTTTCTAGAATGCCATTTAATCGGAAACACAAAGTATGTGCAGCCTTTAGGATGTGTTACATGATGCTGTGCTATACATAGTGAAAAGATTAAGACAGTCAATTAAATACCATTCTCTCACAAAGTTACCTTTTCAGTGTATGTATGTTTAAAACCACCTGAAATCTTTCTTGGCAATTTTCAGTAAAGAATATAATATTAACTAGCCAACATATTATACATTAGTGCTCTAGATCTACCCACTCCATGTAGCTTTGTGCTTTTGGATCAACTTTTTACCTCTCATTTGCAGACTAGTTGCTGTTTCTATGTATTTGAAGTTTTAATAGTCCACACTTAAGAAAATACTTAATTTTCCTTTCTGTGTCTGTTTTATTTCACTTAACATGTTCTTCAGACCCTCCAATTCTTATAAGACTTATAAGAGCTCTTCCTCTGACCAACAGACCCAATCTAAGCGTTACATTCCTTTGTAATAGTCCAACAAACTGACAGAAAAACCTTACATATTATTCTTATATGAAGGTACTGGAAAAAAAGCCTACCTCCACAGAGAATTTTATATTGACTGAAGGAATTCAATCAACGTAAGACAGGAGCATCAGTGTGAATGAAGAGCTAGGAGGAAATTAGTTCATGGATCCAAGTAAGCTACAAAAATAAAGAAAAAGAAAAATATAGAGAAACAGGTGTTTTCACTTTATATGCCCCAGCATTACAGAAAGAACCAGAAGAATCAAAGCAAAGGAAACAAACACAAATCTCCACAAATCAAATACTACTCTCAAATAATTGGAATTAAGAAAAGTCTAGTTACTGATGAAATAACTGCTATAGTTTACTAAGGTAGTAATCATTCAGTAGACCTCATTAAAAGAATGTATTACAATGTTAGCTGAACTATCCCAATTCATAAAAATAATTTCTTCACACAAAAAAAGCAAAATTTCAAAATTAAAATTATAGTCAAGTTTCAGCAAGATTGTAAATATTGTTATCAAAAATGATTACTCCTTGGGGACAGGGAGATAGCTCAGTAGAATAAGTGCTTGCCTGGAAAGCACAAGGGCCTGAGTTCAATCCCTGGTTCTAAAAAAAAAGATTATTCCTGGATTTTGAACAATGTGCTTCTCTGCATTGTTTCCTGGCATTTTTGTCTGGACACTCACTGTGAACACAGGCATGCATTTAGAAGCATTAGTACAAGTTACAGTCATAGGATCCAGAACTGGTTTTCCATAAGGATTACCTAGAGGACTGTTGAAATTTTATTTTATTTATTTATTTTTTTTTTACAAAAACACCATCAGGCCAGGGAGATAGCTCAGCAGCACAAGCAGCTGCCTGGCAAGCACAAGGTCCTAAGTTTGATCCCTGGTACAAAAAAAAAAAAAAGTACAAAAAAAACATCAGGTGCTTCTGAAAAACACATGGGTTTTAGGGAAACAAACTAGATCAGTGCTTTTAGAACTATATTCTGAAAAGTTTTAAAACTCTTATAAAAAGACACTCCAGACTTTTCTCACCTGGTTCAATACAGAATAATCCTATTTTTAAAAAATCTGTTTTGTGTATCTGCTCTGCTTCTAAAAGCCACAAAATCAGACAGAGGAAATTGTACTTACCCATACAGGAATTATGATTATGATTTTGGCTTTAAAATTAACTAATCCAAAGAGAGAACAGACAGATAAAAGGATGAGGATCAATGGACACAGGAAATTTGTTAATGGCAAAGAGCCTTACAAAAGCAGTTCTTTAATTTATGTACTTTGGGGAGATAGTTTGGTGGTCTCAGCACTTGCCCGGCAAGTGCAAGAACCTGAGTTCGATCTCCAGTACCACGTGCCAGGCCGACACTAGCTGTACAAAGAGACCCTACACCAAACAATTAATTAATTATTTCAATTTATAGGAACTTATCCACAAGAAAGTTCCAAATTTTAAAAAAACCCACATAAATTTATACACATAAATTATATTAACTGCACATGCTTTTGTCACTTAGGAAAAATTACTTTATTTTAGACTATAAGTAAAAAGATTAGATGTATCCAGACAAATCCAAAGGTTTGACTTTCTTTTTGACTCTCTTAACCCTGCCACCCCAGTTTCTGTCTAGCAGGCAGATGGGCAGAGAAGGTGGCACAGATCTAGGTAGATGGGCTCTTGGAAGAGGGCCTCACTGCAGGGCAAATGTCCACCTACTGATCCCCAAAAACTTGGCTCGCTCCTGTGAATACCTTTTAGGCACCTTGTTTGTGCTAACCCAGAAAACTACACTGATTTCTGTAGAGGAAGGCAAGAGAATGCTAGTTGTCTCCTCTCTTCCTGTCTTTCAACAGCTCCACAGGACTGGCTCTATAAATCCTAGCCCTTTGAAATTTCCCATTTGAGTCACCTTATTAATAATGGATGCCAAGAGAAAATTAGGTATTCCAGACCTCCTTTGGTGCTGGGCATTGAACCCAGGTTCTTGTCCATGCTAAATACATACTCTGTCCCTGATCTATTCCTCCAGCCCCAGAAATTAAATTTACAATATTATATAGGTACAAACTCAAGGGATTTCTTCACCAAATGAAACAGCAAAGTAGTTGTACTTACCTGTCTGAATACACATACTAAGCAGGAGATGTACTGAGTAAGAAGCCACAAGAGCGACTAGCAGCAGCAAGAAGCTAAAATATGAAAGAACACATGGTCAGTCTGTCTGGTACTGGGGACTGAACCCATGGGGTATTCTACCACTACACTACATCCCAGCCCTTTTTATTCTTAGACAGGATCTTATTCAGTTGCCCAGATTGGCCTAAGCCTCCCAAGCAACTGGGACTATGGGTGTGTGCCACTACACCCAGCAAAGTTTGCCTTTTCATGGCATCTCATTACTGAACAAATATCTTCACATGTAACTGTTGACAAGGTCTACCTCTGAGTGGTAGAATCATGGTTATCTTTTTTAAATCAAGAGAAGTTTGCATTCTTTTATATCTAACAAATTTTATTTAAATGAAAATATACTGGTTTCAGAATAGAACACAACATCAGAAAGACAAACATTTTTACAATACCAGTACAAACAAACTTCCTCATTTTGTATTCCTGTCTGCTGACTGCTGATTCAGCCCCTCAGCAATCCTGGCACTTCCCTGTTAGGACTACTTGTTCTTCCTTTTCTAAGTCTAGACCTACATTTTAGTTATGAAATACCACTGTCCTCTGTTTGCCTTTCCTGTCTCCCATTCTTTACAGGTAATATTAGTACTGTATTTCCTAGCATTTATTTAACACAACATACTCTCTAAACCAAACTAAAATGATGCAATTGCACGTTTAGTGATATAACCTGAAAACTGTGCACACAATGTAATGATTCAGGTTCTCCTACCAACATTGCAGAGAGAAACAGCACACACAATTCTCTGCTTTCCTTAGGAAGATACTGACATGACAAGGTTTCAGCACTAGGGCTCTCCTCAGAATTGCCTCAATATTTAAAGAAACCCTAACTTCATCATTAACTTAAAACTCATTAATAAGTAGCAAAATTGAGAGGTGAAAGTGCACCTATAATTAAACTGATACCTGGAGATTTCAAAAAATGACTGTAATATAACCAAAAGGAATATGTGTAATGATGTAGTGATGTGTAATAACTCAGTGGTATAAGCCTCTGCTGGCAAGCACAAGTTTCTGAGTTCAATTCTTGGTACAAAAAAAAAAAAAAAAAAAACTGACCTGCTTATCAAGAGTTTTGGGATAAAAGCAAGAACTAACCCTAAATCAGATTCTGTATACTTTAAATATCTTGGTTAAACTCTGCTTCTACTGGGAAAACAACCAAAATGAACTTATTCATTCATCTGTTAGCCATGGCATCAGATGCTGAGCGTACGGTCCAGTCCTAAGGGACTTCGGAGTTTAGGGAGGATATGAACTATGGGAGTACAGAGAAGCCAGGGAAGTTTTCTGCTTTAGAGTCTGTGGGCTAAAACTTATAGATGAAATGGAACAGGTTCAGAACTTGCCTCAGAAAGTTAAATGATACTACTTAATGACAGGAAAAGCAGATGGAGAGAATGAAAGATTACATACTTGACTTGGACTGAAAAATTGTTGCTAATCAGTAACCTGCAAGGCTGACAAGTTTTGACTCACTTTGGCCAATTCGACAAAAATGTTTATATACACAAATACCATTGTATATAGGATTCAGTACAGTAACATGCTGTTACAGGTTTGTTACCTGGGGCAATAGGCTGTGTGATATAGCCAGGGTGTGACAGGCAATGCTACCTAGGTAAGGACAACGAAACTGCCTAACAAGGCATTTTTGATAACACAGAAGTGATGTCTAACTACAAGTAGAATCCCTTGAAGCTACAGAGGAAAAAAGTCATAACTTCAGAAATTATCAAGTTAGAAACCGTACAATAGTATCTTATGGAATTTATTCTTCAGCTTTCAATATACAATTAAAACGCGGGGGGAGGGGGAAGAAGGGGACAATGGTAAGATATGGAAGAAGAAAAAAAAACCTCACCCAAATCCAAGAATACCAGTATTAGCCATAACATAAGCTAGGCCAAGGATGCCGCTTCCCATGATGGCATTCATCAAATTAAAGACTGAAAAACCAAACGAAGCTCCTGAAGATCCCTGTCTATGAAGTTCCTGTAGGTACAAAGATGTAACAGTGTTATGAATGATCAAGTTCAAATTCCATTTAAAAATCACTGAATGGAGGGCCAGCCAGATAGCTCAGCCGACTAAAGCGCCTGCTTAGGCAGAGCACAGCGGCTGGGTTTGCGGGCCATGTGGGCCCGGCCCGCGGAGCGCACTGCTATGGTGATTAGACTGGGCATGGTGGCACACATCTGTAATCCCAGCGCTTGGCAGGCTGAAAACAGGAGAATCACTATGAATCTGATCTGTGTAGTCAGACCCTGTAGACCCCTGTACTAAATACATTAAAAAAAAAAAAACAAAAAAAAAAACACAATAAAAATCACTGAACGGTCATGGAGAACATCTGCAAATAACCAGGCTTTTCGCTAAAACTCGTTCCTTTCCTTTCCTCCTAATCAGCGTCCCCGGAATCCAGAGCTCCTAGGGAAAACTATGTCTGCCACAGAGAGGCCAGGTAGTCTTCAGGAAGGGCCATGATTAATCACGTGAATGCCAGAGATAAAGGAAGATAGCACAGGCTTGGGGGTGGAGACCCACAGAACGGACCTGGCCTCAGCTCATGTGATTTCTGAAGGATCCCTGAGTCAGCTTGGAAGTGCTGTCCACAAGTCTTCCTTCCCAGTTACTAGGACTGCAAGCTTAACCCTTATTTATATAAGTAGTAAGTCCACCCCACTGTAAGAATGGTCAGGGCTACCTGCAGTGACAATAGAAGCAATGACGTTGCTCTGACAAATATATCCCTGTGAACACCTCGCTCCTAACAGCAGCTGGAAACAAAATCATAAACTGCTACCGCGCAAGGCCACAGCTCGGCCGCAGAGGCTCGCCCAGAGCCAGAGCACACTGGGTCCGCAGCGAAGGCCGAATTGGGACCTTGGTGCCCAGTGCCGGGCCGCCTTCCCTCCCGCGCCTGTACTAAGACGTCAACAGCCTGCCAATGACACAACTCCGGGCGCCTGCAAAGCCCACCCAGGCCTGGAGGGGAAACCGAAGCGCTAGCACACAGCGGGCAGACCCAGGGCCCCGGCAGGGTCCGGGCCGCCGCCCCGCCGCCCCGCCTGCACTCCGGGCTGCACCTTCCTCAGCTCTGCTCCCCACTGCATGCGAGGCTTTTCTCTCCTGGCTCCCCGGACCTCTCCAGAATGAGGGTCCCACCCCCGGGACTCAGACTCCGGCTGTCCCCCTTTCTCGGGTCACATCTAGCCAGCCGCGTGGGGAGCATCAGGCAGTCAGCGCCCGGATGCCGCCCGAGCCCACTTACGTTGCTTAGCAACGGGCGCAGCTCCGCAGCCGCCGAGTCTTCCGGCTGCTGAGCCGAGATGTACCAGCCCCGCTCCGCGCTGCCGCTGCCCCAGGACGCTTCCATGCTGCTCCTCTACTGACCACCACGTCCATGTGCAAACTCGACTCTGGCCCTCGGCTCCAACTGCTGCTCGCCCGGAGGTGGAGCTATCGGCCGGCCCCGCCGAGTTCTCTCCCAACTCAGCCCGCGGGCGGAAAGAGCGAGGAGAATCGTCGAGGCCTGATGACGCGCGCTCCCTCTGCGGCGCACCGTGATGACGGTGGCCGCGCTACCTGGCCCCCATTTCCCAGCCGCCGCGGAGCATGAGGTGAGGGGTCTGGTCACCAAGGCAGCTGGGGAGCGACGCCCAGACTTGGAAAAGCACAGCTGGTGAGGTGACGGCCCGGTGCAAAGGGCCTGCGGGGCCGAGGTGGTGCTGGGTCGCTGGGGTTGCTCTGACGTCTCCCAGCCGCCCGTGTGCAGAGCTTAGGTCCGGTACTGGGCAGCCAGGCCTTTCGGTGCAGGCTTTGACCGCATTTTAGGGATAAGAAACTGAGGCTCAGATTCGCGGACTTAGCCCGGGATCGCCCTGCTCGTTAAGTGGTAGGCCAGTCTGAACCTGAGTGTCAACTTTGACTTCGTTGCGGTATAGAATCGTGGTGCAGCGCCTTTCGCACCATATTCGCCTGTTAGGTACATTCAAAGATAAAGTGACATACACTGTGCTTAAAAGACTCGGCAAAGCGTCTTCTGAAAACGCGGAAGCCTCTAGTTGTAGACAGGCCCCACGGCGGTAAAGCAAGGAGGCAACCCGGCAATATCCGGCATTAACACACTGAGGCCGGTCTTGCGTGGGTTTTAAATTCTTGGCTTAATCCCTTACCTGCGGTGGAAATGTGTGAGTTAACCTATGTGAGGGGAACAAAGCTCATTTACAAAGCAGCATGCCACTACCCGACTGTCAATACTGATAACACAGTATCCGCTCCAATAAGCACCCTTAAGCATAGGAACACTGACTGCTTTCTTTGCAGATGATTCCCACTGCATTTTATAAAAAAATTGTAGATAAGAAGGTCAGTGAGTACAGTGGGTGGATAGATCACTAATTCCTTCATCCAGAGAGCAGGTGGGCAGAAGCTGCAGATAATAAAAATCCTCCTTCCTATCCTGGAAAAGATAGTATACTTCTCCCACATCTTAAAAAGTTTTGTGTAGCAGGTTATTTGAAATAGGTTAAGTTTTTAGTCTCAAAAGTCATTGTGAACATGTTCATTTGTAAGTTTATTTTTTTTTTAATGAATACTTTTTCTTTTAAAGAATCTTATGGAGGCCATGTGGATTCTCAAGACTTTTGAAAGTAGAAAGCTGTAACCCACCTGAGTCCAAATTGTCGATTCTGTTAGCATGGACAGCGCTTACACAGAAGCTTAGGAAAGCCCCTGATGTTTTCCTATTAGGTCAAAGGGGAAGATTCTCAACCATGCCAGAAATGGAGGCAAATAAAAGCACCTCTGAACTCTTTTCACCACCCTCTCATGTTCGAGGAATGACAAAACTTGACAGGACAGCTTTTAAAAAGACAGTCACCATTCCAGTGCTTAAAGTGAGGAAAGAAGTAGCCGACAGATTGTTGCGGTCCCTTAAAAGGGCAGCACTGCAGCGCCCAGGCATAAAGCGTGTAATTGAAGATCCAGAGGATGAAGAATGTAGATTAATTATGTTGGATCCCTATAAAATACTTACCCATGATTCCTTTGAAAAAGCAGAACTTAGTAATTTAAGTCAGCTTAATGTCAGTCCACAGATATCTAAATATAATCTGGAACTAACTTACGAAAACTTTAAGTCAGAAGAGATCTTGGGAGCTGTGCTTCCTGAAGGTCAAGATGTGATTTCAGGGTTTAGCAGAGTAGGACACATTGCACACCTGAACCTCCGAGATCATCAGCTACCGTTCAAGCATTTAATTGGTAAGTGTGTCATGGTAATGTTCATGTATTAGAAAACAGTTAATTCTCTTGTTTTGGGAATTATTTTTGAAATGCTACAGAGGGACAGTTTATCAGTATCATTTCAAGCCACATTTTGAACCGCATGCTCTCTTTTGAGAGCCAGTTTGACACACTCATTTCAGCATAGCAGGTTCTATTGGTCGAGGTTTTTGTGTACACCAGTACAAAAGTGTTCTACACTGAGCCCAATTCATTTTAGTGTATGAGACTAAGGCTTTTGGGACAGTGTTCAGTACTAGCTTTCATAAATAAAGCTTTCATAGACAAAAGGACAACTGGTTTACTTATGCTTTTATTGAGTCAACATTAAGCCTCTTCTAGATGTTAGGCACCATCCTTTCTTAGAGGTTCTAGCCTTTTAGAAACAATGCTTATGGTTTAAACTGGCCTTAGGTCTTTGATAAGAAAGATGTAGAGGACTAATTAAAATTACATTTATCCTTAAAGATTTGATGTCTCTATGTTCTCTAAAGCTCCTTAAAAATAGAAATTTTTAGGACTTCTGGGAATTATTTTCAGCTTTAAAGTCTAGTATTCAATGCTCTGCATGGGTAGGATTTTAGAAGTGTGCTGTTAGGCATTAACTTTATTTTTAAAGATGAGAGGATTGATAACGTATAATGGTAGTAGAATAAATACTTGAGTAGATCCTTATAGTTATTGACTAGGTACAGATGCCAGGTATATAGTCTTTCCTAGGTGCCTAACTCAAACATTCCTTTAGCCCATATGTATTTTTTAAAACTCATAGATGGGTACTCAAAGGTTAAAAATAAAGAATTCTCATACAGTAATAGTTTTAAAGATTTTACTATAGAACTTCAAAATAGTTCACTTAAAAATTTTTACTCATTTAAAATTCACTTCTGTACCTTAAAAATTGAGTCCAGATATCTGAAGCAGAACAGGAAAAGAGCAGTGATTGATTAGAATGTATTATATAATCAGGTGTCCAAGTTTCAGAGCAAAAACAAAATTCTGATTGTATTTCAACAGATTTGTATTTTCTTCATTTTACCAAGTTACAAATTGTTCTTTCCTTACACAGTGATATAATAAGTAGAATTTTATAACTTTCTTAAGTGCTGACAAAAAATAGACTGTTTAAGGGCATCATTGATATGCCATTTTACTATTTTTATAGCTTTTCTGTTGTTATACTTGAGGAAAAGAATGTTTTATTTATATCAGATTCTAAAGAATCAATATTTCTTTTGTTGGAAACATTGTTTTGCATACATATACTTACAAAGTGGAGGCATTTGTTCAAGCCCACAGTAAAACAGACATTTGGCTTGAGGCCCATTGAAACAGGCAGATGTCTTTGCTGATGTTTTCTGAAACCATTTGTTGTCCAGGCCTTCACATTTCTTTTCATTCTTCCCCACTTCCCTATAGCCTGACTTGTTGCTTACTTGCATTAGTACGCTTGAGGTTTAGTAAAAATGTGGACAACAGTGGATACCCTGTCTCAAAAAAAAAAAAAAAAAAAAGTAGGCACCTATTAGGTATAGCCTAATGCCTCAAAAGTTTTTTTTCTTTAAAAGTGTACATGCTTTGTGTGTTCTCCTAACTATCAGAAATTAACTTCAGTAGTAGAGTTACACGCATTAGGTAGGGTAGTTTTAAGTCTATAAACCAAAAGAAAATAGAGCTTATTTCTGTTAAATATTTTTTTAACATTTACTTTATAACAAGTAATATTTACTATTTTCATCTTTTAGGCCAAGTTATGATTGACAAAAATCCAGGAATCACTTCAGCAGTAAATAAGATCAATAATATTGACAATACATATCGAAATTTTGAAATGGAAGTGCTATCTGGAGAAGAGAATATGATGACCAAGGTACAGAATATTTTATCATCTCCTAGGAGGCTGTATATCAAGATTGGTGTTCAGAATCAAAAGATGAAAAAATTGATGAATATGTAAAACTCTGAAGACTTACATATTATTGGTGGGATAGCATTGACAATAAAGCAGGAGATAGAGGGTATTTCTCTATCAGATTTATATAACTTTGCAACTTTCCAAGGTCATATTCCCTTAATTTTAGTTTTATTTTTGGTATTCTAAAATGTCTAATGTGGATCTTAAAGAAATGTCCCAGTCTTATTTACTTTTGGTCATGATTTAGCTTCAGTATATGTATTTAGTTTACCCATGAAAACTAAAATATTGGAATGACTCATTCTGTATACTAGGTGTAATTTATACATAGGAAATTTGCAGAGCTCAAGTAAAGACTTAGTAAAGTACATCTCAACATTAAGCTTTTTACTAACTAAAACCAGGGAGACTTATTTGCTCTATGAAAATTGTATCAGCAACTTACCTACAGACTATAAAGACAGTTTTTCCCTCTATCTGGTGATCTAAGAAAATAAGCCATTGAGTTGGTTTTCCTGAAAAATTCCTCATGTGATTTGGAAACAACATAATGGCCTTTTAGAAATGAGATAGCTGTTTTGCTTCAATGAGATAACTTTTATGAACAGGTATAGTACAAGACACTAACTGGCCCCAGAAATAGCATAAACACCAAGATTCTAATTAAAATGCCTTTAAGTCTACTGTTACTTGCTCTGGTAGTAGTAAAGTTAAATGTGTGCCACTATGTGTATACACATACCTGTCTAGTATTAATGGCTGAAATTTCGTATCAGGAATAACCAAACCATACCTTTTCAGGTTCGAGAAAACAACTACATATATGAATTTGATTTTTCAAAAGTATATTGGAATCCTCGCCTCTCTACAGAACACAGCCGTATCACAGACCTTCTCCAGTCTGGGGATATCCTATTTGATGTTTTTGCTGGGGTTGGGCCCTTCACCATTCCAGCAGCTAGGAAAAACTGCATTGTGTTTGCCAATGATCTCAACCCAGAGTCCCATAAGTGGCTGTTGCACAACTGTAAATTAAATAAAGTGGGCCACAAAGTGAAGGTCTTCAACTTGGATGGGAAAGACTTCCTCCAAGGACCAGTCAAAGAAGAGTTACAGCGGCAGCTGGAACTGTCAGAAGAAAGCAAGCCCTCCATCCACATCGTTATGAACCTGCCAGCAAAGGCTACAGAGTTTCTTGGTGCTTTCAGATCACTTGTAGATCGGCAACCGCGCAGCAGGGAGCTCCTTCCCAGAGTGCACTGTTACAGCTTTTCCAAGGAGGTTAACCCTGTTGAGGATGTCCGGCAACGCGCAGGAGCTGCACTCGGCATTTCCTTGGAGGCGTGCAGTTCAGTTCACCTAGTGAGAAACGTGGCCCCTAACAAAGTAATGCTGTGCGTCAGCTTTCAGATCCCAGCTGCTGTGCTGTGTAAGAACCAGACAGACCATCCAGGTGAGCAGTTCATAGTGAGATAAATGTAAAGCATAATACTTTCCATGTAGATTTCTTTGGTTTGGTTTTTTTTTTTCTGTCCACCTTCTCATACATTTTATTTTTTCTATTTTTTTCCCATAATTTTATTGAGAAACAAATAGCAGTGAGACAGTTTCAAACCAA